TGAGCCCACCTGTACACTTAAGGCAGCGTGCGCATTTCAGTTGGTTTATCCACCTAAGATGTGCACAGAGATGTTATCTCCAGGGTGGATTCGGTGAAGCTGTGCCTTTAGTGTTGTCACCACTATGTAGGTAAAACCAGAGTAGAGAACTGCTCTCCTGTCAGCTTGTTTCTTCCTCAGCGTGGTAGTGCCCCATATTGGTAGGCTGATGGTGAGGTTCAGGGTGCAAGAAGCCCAGACAGTTTACGAAAAGATGAGGCGTGGCCAGTCAAATAAGGAGACACAGACCAGAGTTAAGGGTTTATTTCCACTTACAACTCTGTCCACAGATACATGAGTAAAGTCCAAGTGCCTGACTCTGCCCCATCTCCAGCGTTTCTTTCCTGCTTCCATCCCAACCTGACCAGATTCTGCCCTGACTACACTCATTACCCCAAAATCCCGATTTACTCAGTTCTTTACTTCCCTATATAAATAAATGGATGCCAATTACGCCAGTTTTGAATAAAAGTTGTACGTGCACCTCTCTTCAGAAGAGCATGGCTTGCCCCCTCTTAAGACCCTTGGAATACATAGTCTCTGTCAGCCTGGAACCCATTACAGGACAGCATTTCAATGGCAGGGAAGAGAGAAGCAGGTACCATATTGGCCATTACTCTCCAGACTGGACAGGAAGGCCTGGTTCCATGAGAAAGTGCCATAAAACAAGGCAAGAGTATTGATCAATATTGTCAACAACAGATGGGATGTGTGGCCCTCCAGATATTGGTGGACTGCAATTCCCACAAACCCTAGTCAGGGTAAGCCATGGTTAGGGATGATGGGGTTGGCAGTCCAACATCTGGAAAGCAACTTATTCCTGGCCTACAATGATACTGCGGCAGCTATCTTCTGGTTTCAGACAAGACTGCTTCTCAGCTGTACCTGGATATGCCGGAGAATGAACCTGAGACCTCCAGCATGCACAGTAGGTGCTCTGTTACTAACCTGGGCATAGAAAAACAATGCTGCATAATCAGCAATTCCCAAAGCACCCGGCTGCACAGATGCTGGTGGGAGGACCAGCAGGTAACATTGGAGTCAGCCCCTGCTGCCAGAATTGCTGTGCACCAGCTTTACACAGCAAAATGTTGTCAGAGCTGCTTAATGTTACCATGGTCATGAAGGAGCTGCTTCCCAGTGGTTGGCCTTACCAGGGTGGGCTACTTGTGGCCCTCCAGAAGTTTTGCTGAGGGATGACAGAACTTACATGCCAAAGAAAGTCACACGGTCACACATTGCTCATTGCAGTTACCTGTGGACTATGCAGTTGGATGAAACAATAACTGGGTGTATCTCTTGGATCTTCTCGAAGCATCAGTCTTAGAACCACACCCAGAAGCCCAGCACCAGAGAATGCCTGGTTTCAGTTTCTCTAAAGAGACAAAGCTGCCTTTTGGCCACTAGATGGCAACAATATAAATACCTCTTTCCACTCCATTGTGTGTATCGATAGTCTATGGCAGGGCCCATGTGACTCAGGTGACCTTTATGGTTACTTCACATGCCTGTGTAAAGTCACTTGCATAATTTGTCCAGTGTGAGCCTGCCTCATAGCTTACAGTATTCTGGAGAAAACCAGCTCAAAAGCACTCAATATGCAGAATACACTCTTTTTGGAAGGTCAAGTTTCACAGACCAAATAGAGATCTAAAGTGCTCCTTTTAAAACAAAACATTGCATAGCCTTCTGATCAAGTCTATATTGCATATCAGTTTACTGATGTGGAGAAGTTCATAAGGCTGTGTGCCAAGTGTGCTTTTAAATACATAATTAGGCACATGTTGTTCTCAGCTTTGACCTGGCAAACACACAAAGTTTATACCAGCAGTAGATAGTGGGTAATTCTGCAGATCTCTGGAAGAGTCACAGTAGACTACAAAGAATTTTTGGCTACAAATTATGTAACAGTGCTGGAGTGGGGCTCCGGAGATCCAGGTTCAAGACCCAACTTGATCATGAAACTCACTTGGTGCTTTGGACCAGTCACTGACCTTCAAGTTGGCGGTGAGGATTACAGCTGTAAGAATTAATTGGAAGACCATGTGCATGACCTTAGGTTCCTTACAAGACGACAAAAGACAGGATATAAATGTCACAAGAAAAATAATTTTTAAAAACCAATAGCATAAATAATTTGACTCCCCTCTTGCTTTGAGTTGTACTTCTGAAATGAAGAAAGATTCTGATAACAGAGAGCTCACCCCTACTTGTGAAATGGGATGTATGGACAGGGAAAAGGGATGCATCTCAGTTTGGGGGGGAAATATCTCAAGCAGAAAGGGTCAAGAAGTGGGTGGTAACAGGAGGAGAGGCACGTGTGGAGAAAAGTCTGCTAATCCAGGTGGATCAGATGCAAGAGAGATTATGAAGGGCTCCTCTGTCTTTATTTCAGCAAGGGCCCATCTACAGTAAGGGAATGAGACAAATGGCCTCCTTGAAATTTGGGATGCCACATGAAAAATCAGGGCTCCAGCCTCTGGTGCTGAATCAGCGAGCACTCCAGACTTCGCACTTCTTTAGGGAGAATGTGTCCTCTCAGGACAAAATGAGTGAAAGCACTATCATGATATGGCTGCCGAAAGCCTGACACTGTAAGAACAGCTTTAAACTTAAGGTGGGATCCTGATCTCATTGGGAAACCATGTTGCACATCCCCACACACACTTTAGATGTGCTAATGTATGCCTGTCCTGAAACTTGTTCTTTTTGTGTCTTTTGTCTTAATCCATTCAACCCTTTTTGTTTTACACTCATGTGCCTCTAGCAAACTGCCTACATGATCCCCCACCCTCCCCCAAAAATGTGTATGTAACTTATAGATTATAAAAGCCTTCTTTACAGACTCCATCTCCATAGTACCTTCAAGGGCTACCTACATTGTGCATGTAAGTCCTGCTTGTCTGAATGAACTATAGACGTTCCTTTAGTGTTAGGGAAATCCAGAATAAATTCTGGTAGAAAAAGCCTTTGTGTTATAAAATCAGACCTACACCCCTTTCTCAGAAAGCAGCAGATTTTCAAGCCAGGTTAATGTTTAGCATTTCAGTTATTTTAAGAAGATGGAATTCTTAGCTGGACTGAGAATCTGCTGTAGGCTAGCACTATTAGTGGGGAAATACCGGGTGTTCCCATCAGCTGCAGAGAGCTGAGACAAAGGTGTCCATTTGTTTCTGTATGGACCCATTTAATCACCTAGTTCAACAGAAGTAAGGCAGTATAGCTGTCAAATCAGTTTTCCTGAATGGTTCCTCAATCAGACAAATTTGCATGTTTAAACAGACACAGAGGCTGATCCAAACTGAATTTACTTGTCAATAAGGATCAGTCAGGGAAATTTTCTATTCTACTATCATGGGCATTTCTGATTGGTTTAGAGTATTATTTTCTATATGAAGACATTTATTTATATTTATATTGCGATTTATATCCTGCCTTTTTCCTACAAAGGGCTGAAGGCAGCTTACATCTCCTCCTCCATCTTATCCCCACAACAACAACCCTGTGAAGTAGGTTGGGCTGAGAGTTTGTGACTGGCCCAATGTCACCCAGTTGGCTCCATGGCTGAGCGGGGACTAGAACCCAGATCCTCTGAGTCCCAGTCCCATGCTCTCAACCACTACACCACATCTGGCATCAAGATGCTATTATGTTAACACTATCTAGAGACTTAATACTCTGCAAGTGACTTGTTGCTAGTCATGAAGTCATGTCCAACCCATCGCGACCCCATGGACAACATTCCTCCAGGCCTTCCTGTCCTCCACCATCCCCCAGAGTCCACTTAATGTGACTGGAAAGTTATAAAAATGTCCGTACATGGGCTGTGATTTTGTAGCTGGTGGTGAAGACCACTACCCAGTAGCATGCTGTCGTAAGTAAACTTCAGGGGGCCTGAGTGATTTCACCAATAAAAATGCTGGGGTTAAAGGCGATTCAGCCTTCCCTGTGGGTCCTGGTATTCATTCTCACCATTGGTAAGGAGACTCTGACAAAAGTATTCCACCAGCATACCTGTGCAAGCTGTTTCTTAACAAGCCACGGCCAAAATAGGCAGCTGATCCATTTTCCAGACACAACTGTCAATCACAGAGCTTCATTCTTGCTGGGATTCGGACTACTTTTATTGACTGCCATTCAAGCCACCACTGCACCCAGTTACTGGTGCTTGTACAACCTCCTAATGATACAGATGATACAGAGCTGGATGTCATTAATGTATTGATGGCACCTCTCTTGAAATCTGCCCCCCCCACAACAGCTCCCTATTAAAAATAGTAGTCCTGACAACAAAAATGATGCCCTGTAGCAACCCACAGCCTAACTGCAAGGGGGCGATTATCATTCTTCTAAAGTATTTCTGGGAAGGAACCTACAGATAAGACCAGCACCACCAAAGAATAGTGCCTCTAATACTCATAAAGCTGATCCAGGAGGATACCATGGTCAATGGTGTCAAAAGCTTCTGAAAGTCTCAGTAAGAAAGAGCAACATATGATTTCGGACAAGTTCGAGCGCTCTTGACCAGTGGCCATGCTAAACATGTCTAGATCACCAGTTTGGGAAAGGCTAATATATGCTATTGTTTGAAAACACGTAATTGTATCGAAGGATGGTAATACTAGCTTTCATAAATACAAAAGGAAGGGCTAGTCGGTATCCTGGATTAACTAATCTGGAACAAAACACGTTTCATATGTACGTCCTCATTGAAACAACATGATCTGCGTTCAGGAGTAACACTCGTTCTCAAATATAACAACACTTCCCATCATGCCTTTCTTCCAATTCGATCTAGACAACCACCTCCTACTTCCCCTACTCCTACACCAGCCTTCTTATTCCCGAGGAAGGAAGTCCTCCCCTTACCTGGGCGGGGCTAGGAAGACGTTTGGGCGCGCTCAGAGCTCTGGGAGTTGTAGTCCGCAAGTTGGTTGGAAGGAAAGGACTGCGCAGCCGCAGCCGCCTTTGCTGCCGCTCCTCCTGGAGGAAGTAGCGCCGCCATTTTCTCTGGCGGACCTAAGTGAGTTGCGGCGCGCACGGGAGCAACGCGATTAGTTTCACGCCAGCAGCGCCGGTGAGTGACCGTCTCCTTTCGGGAGAGGCCCTGGGCGGAGTTAGAGGGAGTGCAAAAGCGAGGCGGTGAAGCACCAGCAGCAAGAGCGGCCAGGTTTATCCTCTGCGGCAAGCGGAGCGCAGCCAGGCGGTGAGGCCGACGCGCAGCCTTCGTTGGGCCCTGCGCGCTGTTCCTTCGTCCCTGCTTGGCTGCTCATGGGGGAGATTCGCCTCCCCTTTCCCCCATAGCTGCATCTTCTTCGGCTCCAGTCCTCTTGCCGCTAACAGTCTCGCTTCCCCCTCCCTTTCCCCTCCTGCCTCCTGCCCCCACACTGCTTTTGCCTCCCTCCAGGTTATCCAGGCCAGACCTTGCAGGCTCCGCGCTCCGCGCTTCACCCCATCCCACTGGAAAGGTAATGGAGAAGGAAATGCATTTGCTTGCGAAACATATTTGCTTAGTCTTTCTGCAAGTTTTCTACACGCTGCAGGGGGAGGGCACCTCCTGGTGGTTCTGTTATGATTTCGGATGGTCGTGAACATGAAAGGTGTCCTCGTTTTTTACTGAGCCGCCACCTCTTGCTGGAGGAGCGTGCCGGCCTTGGAGTTACAAACCAAGAGATCCGTGCCTCTTGAAAGGCTTTCCTTTCCCATTCCAGTAGAAGTTGATTCAAGGAAAAACATCTATTTAATTATTAGTTGTGACAGAATTGTTTGACTGCCTTCCTTGAGAGTTCATTGGGTGCATTCTTCATAAATGTAGACCCACTCGGTTGTTTGCTTCTGTATGATCATGCAGTTTGTTGCAAGCATAGTAGAAGAGCATCATGAATACATTCTCCTCAGCTGACTAATTTGTATTTAAGATTTCTGGACCTGGCAGGGTTTTGGTATAAATGTAATAAAAATATTAATGAGAGCAATTAACATTTGTTTTACAGCATAGACTAAAATGAGTGGTTGTCGTGTTTTTGTTGGACGTCTAAGTCCTCATGCTCGGGAACGAGATGTGGAGAAATTTTTCAAGGGATATGGCCGTATACGTGAAATTAATCTGAAAAATGGCTTTGGTTTTGTGGTAAGTGCATCTATTTTAAAAGATGTTTTCCTTTCCTCATCTAGAAGACTGTAGACAAATCAGTACATTATAATGTACAGACTGTAGGAAATAGGTTTAATGGATCAACCTTTTCCTTAACTGCCTAGCTTTTTCTATAAAATATTGACTTTTGCTGTTAGAAGCCAGAATTCTGAGGAGGGACAATTTGAAATTATATGGTAAAATGTTTCTTTTCTTCCTTCCTTTTTTTTGGTTGAGTAAACTCAGCTTTACAAATAATTATGACAGTGGATGGTTTCCGCGTTAATTTGCTCATCCGTACTCCCCTTCCACCCCAGCATGTCTCACTCCTTAGAGGAGAGATATTTGTTTTTACCTCTTCTGCTTCCACTCCCAAAAGATATTGATGAGACAAACAAGGAAATTATCATTTATACTGTACTGCTCCTCTATTATGTAACTCTAATGGCAGCAGTATCTGTTCTCTCTCTTGGACTTAAAGCTGAATACTCAGGTTGGTAAGTATCCAAAGGCTTTTTAAGTCTGGAAAATAAAGAGAAATAGGAAGTGTGGCGGCCTTCTTAATAGAGTGAAGCAACCAGTCTTGTGTGATATGATTCTTTTACTACTGGAGTTTCTTTGGTCTGTGGTTTTTTACTTTGTTTAAAGTAAAAAGCTTAAGAACATACTTTTAACCTGAAGGACTAATCAAGCTGTGTTAGATGATTGAATGTTGGTTTTTTTTTTCCATTCCCCAATCCATAATTACAGCTAGACAAAAAGAGAAGGCTAGTCTATCCAGTTGATCCATATGCTACCAAACAGTGCTCCATTTTTGATAAGGCATATGTGACTTTTCCTTCTGTCCCTGAAAGCAATCCAGCATGTACTCTTCAGAGCAAAGAAGTATCAGTCATAGCTGCTTCTTTCAGAGGAGAGTGTCAGTCTCACATGCCAGCTCCAAGGTTACATAAAATTTGAATGGAGCTTATTTGCTTCCCCTTTCTGCTACACAGTGGAAGGTTGATGCTCTCACATTTAGCTTTCAGAATTTATATAGGCTACACACAGGGAGAAACAATTATTACTTTGTTACAATTGTTAGGCATAACTCCAGAAAATAACAAAATATCACATTAACGTGTGTGTACATTTTGTTTTAGGAGGGGCTTATATAAAAACATTGCTCTACTATAAGCAGCATTTTGTTCTTGTATTGCTTTCTAATCATCTGTAAAGGCATTTTAGGAAGGATTCATATCAGTGAAGTTATGGAATATCATTAGCAGTTATAGAATAAGAGAAGAAGTCTCTCTTAGACATTTATAATTGCTTAAAGAATAGAGAGCAGACCACAGGAATAAATAGTAAATGCTCCCAATGGAGGGGTGTGAACAGTGGGGTCCCACAGGGATATATATTGGAACCAGTGCTTTTCAACTTATTCATAAACAGTCTGGAATAAAGAATGATCATTGAAGAGACCAAGCTTGCTCAAGATACCAAATTATTCAGAGTAGTCAAAAACAAAAAAGGACTGTATGGCACTTTGAAAGGATCTTTATAGAATGGAAGGATGGACTTCAGAATGGCAAATGTTATTCACTCTAGGAAAGTAGAGTGATGATACATTGACCCTGCCCCACTCCCCCCCCCCCCCCAATATCTCAGCTTCAAGTATATTTTGATGGGATCTGACCACAACATATGGCTGACCACAAAAGAGAACTTGCAGTTGTGATAGCTGATTGAAAACATCAATCAGTATGCAGGTGCTGTGAAAAAAGCAAATTCTTTGTTAGGCATAATTAAGAAAAGAATTGAAAATAAAACTACTAGTATATTGCACTTCCACAGATCTATTGCTTGACCTCACTTGGAATACCGTGTTTGTTTGCTTATGCATTTATATGCTGACCCCTCATCCTAATGGAGACTCTGTCCATGTTTGTCACTGCACTTAAATATGGCTTTTGTAGAGTTGGAACAGTGCAGAAAGGGGCAGCTAAAATGATCAGGGGGCTGGAACAACTATGAGGAAAGGTTCCAGGAGGTGAGATTGTTGAACTTGGAAAAAAGTGAGAAAAGGAAGGCATGATGGGGTGTATGAAATTATGCATAGTGCAGAGAAAGGTGGGTATGGAGTCACTGTTCTCCTTTTCATTTAATACTAGAACCAGGTGCCATCCCTAGAAGCTGATTAGTGGGGGATTCCAAACAGATAAAAGGAAGCACTTCATACAGTTCACAGTTAAAATAAGCAATTCACTTCCACAGGATGTAGTAATAGCTGCAACTTTGGATGGCTTCAAAAGGGGATTAAGCAAATACATGAATTATAGGGCTACCAGTGGCCACTTATCATGTTGACTCTGCTACCTCCAGTATGAGAGGCAGTATGCCTGTGTACGCCATTTTCTGTGAAGGGTCCTGTTGCTCTTATCCTTCTTGTGGGTTTCATATAAGCTGCAGGTTGGTCACCATGTGAACAGAATGCTGGAGAAGACGGACCCTTGGTCCAAGGTGGCATGGGTGTTTTTATGTTCTTAAAATGTGACTTGATACCTTTTAAAGCCTGTTTAGTTGAAAATTGCTACTTCCAATTCACAGCCAGAAAACTGTGTCATAAAGTTGTATTGAATCAATCCATCTACAGTCACTTCCCAGCAGACCACTATAGATGGAACAGATACTTGCTTTTCTTTCACTTCAATCAATGGAGATACTTAGGCTAAAAAAGTAGCATGTAGCAAGCAAGAACTGATACGAATAGCATGGCAGCAGCTATTACCATTGTTGGCGGTCCCTGACCTCCTGAATACTGCAACAGTATTGCAGGAAGGTGCTTCTGTCCCATGGCAAGAGAAGCAGGGTTACTTGTGGGAACATGACATGAAGAATCTGATGGGCCTTTTTTACTTAAATCTGTTTCTCCAGCATATTTATTTGCTTTGTTTGGGCAAGGAGTAGACTGTCATGGCATACAGAATGATACTGATCACTTACTACAACACTGTAGCTACTCAGTTCAGTGCAACTGGGCCAGAAAGGAATTAAAAACTTTTGCAATAAAGGGAACTGTAATAGCATGTTTTTAAACTCCAGTTTTCTGCTTAAAACGCCAAGGACCAGGCTGTGATGCTGTCATTATTTTAATGAGAGTTTTAAGTGTAGTGTGAGGAATTATATACTGGATGAAATATTGTGTACAATTGCTGTTTGTTAGTGATCGTACTCAGACTATGTTAATGAACATGTAGCTATGAAAGGTTTGGTTGCTATCTAGAATAGCCCCCAAACTTATGGAGTGTTGTAAACCATATGTGAGTGGGAAGGGAAGCTTAGACTGCAAAATACCTGCTTTGTAAGGAGCAGACCAGCATATTATGTGATTGTAGGTAGCATAAAATAGGGGCTGTTTTCTTCTGAAAGCTGATATGAATATATCATAAGTCACTTCTGGATAGTAACATTGTTCATTTAGTTTGATTTCATGACATTCATTTACTGCTGAGCACCATTCCTTTGTTCCAGGAGTTCCTAGGTCTGGTGATACCAAGTCTTTCATTGCAGATTGGTGTGGCTTCCGTGAATGTGGCCTCACCATTTGGGGAGAGTTTGTGCTCAGCAAAGCTGGGTCCTTATTGTATTTAAAACTTTTTAAAACTGTCCCTTACCAAAGTCTCGGGGCTGTTTATCAGTAAGTCTTATCCAGCCTTATCTGAGCGGCTGGTTGGATGAGCTCAGCTGGTGCTTAGGTCAAGGACTAGATGTGCCTCTAGTCTGGGACTATTGGGAGTAAAGGAATTTGGAAGAAGTTCCCTGGTGTGGAAATAATTCGCTCTTTAAAGATCTGACTGTATGACTCATTTTTTCTTTTCCTTTTCTAGGAATTTGAGGATCATAGAGATGCAGATGATGCAGTTTATGAACTGAATGGTAAAGAACTTTGCAATGAAAGGTAATGCCTATGTATGTACTTTATTGAGACAAAGGTTGTGTGTTCCATTTTGTCAAGGGAGAGAAAGAGAGAAGACATTTCATTTTACTTTTTTCCAGCTTCTGATTTTCTCTGTACTGCAGTTTGGCCTCACTTGTATTGCGGTTTGGAGAATGTAAGAAACAGTGTACTCAGGTGCAAGGGAAGTAGAGTAAGCCTTCTCTCATTGAGCTTTGTGCTGATTTGAGAACCCAAACAGCACAAAGACTTTTTCATGCTCAGTCATGAATGAGAGAATCCCACCTCTCCCTAATACATCCTACCAAAGAGAGTTTCAGAGAGAGGTGGAATCTTCCTTCACTTGTGCAGTAGTTTGGATAAGATGTACCAGGAGTTTCTTTTCCACTGTTTCTTATCTTCTCTGTTTCCTGGAACAAATGGGAAATGACCATATCTTTCCCTCAAGCCCTCAGTACATGGTAGAGGACTTGGTGGAGGGGGTTGGTCACAAGCAAAATACTGGCTTGGCTTTCTAGCTATCCTTTTTGTTCAGCCTCTTAAATATATCAATTTATTTATTTAAAACTTTTGTATGCTATCACCACATACCTTGACATCTTGGGATGGCTTACAATACATACAATTAAAAACAATAAATGATCTTTATAAATAACAAATTCAATAAAAGATTTTTTGGTGCCAGGTTAAGACCTTTTTATTCAATATTTTAATAAGTTTTAATATCAGATTTTATTATTGTATTTTATTAATTGCAGCCAGAGTGGGTCATCAATTTATTTATGCTGTTAGCTGTCCAGAGACGTTAGTAATTGGACGGCATACAAATTTTATGAACAAAAAACCCCCCCCTGAAAAAAGAACGACTATTCAGCTATAAAATATTAGTTTTTAAAATAGCGATTAAATAAAAAGGTTTTAACCTGGCACTGAAAGGAATATAAACTCTGCATCAGGTGCACCTCTCCACAGAGCGCATTCCATAATCTGGGCGCCACCGCAGAGAAGGCCCTGCTCCAGGTAGATGTTCTTTTTATCTCCTTTAAAGAGGGCTTCCGGAGCAGAGCCTCTCCCGCAGATCTTAAGGGGCATAATCTCTCATTCATGGTATCCTTTAGGATAGTTTTAAGTTGTTTATAACACGAGTGTCTAAAAACAAAGAAATTAAAAAATAGGCAAAATGAAAGATTATTTTGTCTACACTGATCTGAATATGTTAGTTTTGGAATTTATTTTGAAGTACCCCAATCACATTCTTTTGTTTATTTGCATAATCTGGAAGAAGATGCCTATTCTTTGTGCTCATTTTGAATATAAAAAGACTGAAGTACTAGATAAGTGATGTATTTTTTGTATAACAGGGTTACAATTGAACATGCAAGAGCCCGAAGAGGGGGTAGGGGCAGATACCCACAGCGGTTCAATTATTACCAGTCCTACGGGGGCGGATCTAGGTAAGAAATCTGTTCTGTTTAGTGTTACCTTGCTGTTGGAATATGCTATATTAGAATACATGTCAGAATATTGCATGCAGTCAGGACTGCTAACTATTTCCTATTCCTAAATAACTGCATGGGGTTTTTGAGGTGTTTATACAACCAGTCAGCTGGGATTTTTATAGCCCTCCCTAAATGTTTAATTTTGGGTAGGGTAGCTCCATGCTTGGATAATTGCAGAGAATCTTGTCCTAACAGTTAGTTCATTGAAGACACTGAGCTTCAATTAACATTTTTAAAGCAGAGAAAGAAGTTTGCTGGTGAAGTCATTAATTACCAACGTATAACAGGCTGAAGGGTTTTATTGGTAGCACTTGACACCTTTTTATGCCCATTAATACTGATTGTGAAGCACAAGTTGTATCCATTCTCATGTCAGCAGCCAAATTTTCTCATTGCTTGATTTAGTAGAGGATAAACTTCAGGCTTTGGTCCTGTGCAAACCTTCTAGGTAGCTTGGTGTCCTCCAGCTGTCTTGGATTACAGCTTCCATAATTCAGCATGGTCATTCTGGCTTGGGATGGTAGGCCAAAACAGTTACAAGGCACCAGGTTTCCTCTCCCTGATTTTCTGGGCTTTATATGAATGGCCTGTCAAACTGGCTTCAATTTTGGTGGGAGAACAGTGGATTAGAGAAGAGTGCTAGTTTTCAACAGTAACCCAAATTTAGCAGAATCTACAATAAAGCTATCTGAGGGTATCTTTGGAAGGATATACTTTTGAAAGGGTAATATGCAGTAGCACTGCTGCAGCTCTGCTTATTCCATGGCAGCTTGCACTTCTTAAAGCAACGCTGTGAATGAGTAGAGATGCTTGTTTCTGGAATGGGACGCTTCAGCAGAGCCCCCTTTTGCAAGCTCTGATGGTGTCCATTCTGGAAGCAAACATTTCCATGGCTTTGGCTTGCCTCAGCAACTGCTAGTTTCCTATTACATCAGTGTTGGGTCTTGCTAATCCATGGATGGGATTGGATACGGCCCAAAGTATTTCTTTTGCTTAAATGTCTATTTCTCTACCACAAGCTGCTGTTTGTAGTAATCAGTACATTATATTATTTAGACACTTGTAATGAATATATGACAATGTTGCTTAGAAATAGTGTTTCTGCATTTCATTCAGAGGCAGCCTTCTTACCATCCTCATGTTAAAAGAACAATGGGAACAAATTTGCATATTGAAGCATGCTGTTGAGATTCTCTTTTTTTTAGTGCAGTGATGTTGCTGCAGTAAGAATGATCCAAGGTCCAGGCTAAAAGTGAACTTTTAAAGTAGGATATGTGACTGACGTTCATGGGCATCTGGCATGGTAGTCACGTTCATGACATCAGGCACATGGTGCCAGACAAGAAGAGACTGCTATTTCCAGTAGTGAAAAGTGGGACTCGGCCTGCCAGTTGGGGGATTCTGGAACTTCTGTTTAAATGCTCTGAAGATCTGGATATTCTGAAAATGTGGGGCATTTAGAGGTATGCAAATGAAATGGAGTTGCCTCTGTTTCAGTGTCCTAAAGGAGCATATGTTGATTGTCACATTTTACGTGTTATGAAAGAGCCACCATTTGAAGTGGATTTTGGCACCTAGCTTGAAGAAACCTATGTACAGTTCACAGTTGTTTATACTATCACTTTATATCATACATGGCTTTAATGACAGTAAATAAGACAGATCTTGTAGGTAGCACAAATGTCTTAATACAAAATGAGCTAGACAGTGCTTCAGTTCACTACACCCTATTGAAGTACCATACTACTTCAGTAAGCTTGTACTCTCCATGGTCATACCCTCATAGGGCTGATTCACACATGCATGTTCATCACTTGATGTGAGTCTGCTAAGTATATGAACTCCATTGGAAAATAATGTTAGATGGTACCTTCATTTATGGAAGTTTTGTGTGACATGGAGGTCATCAGCTGATGAACACATCTGTGTAAACTGGCCTGTAGTTTTTGAGCCCATAGCTTGTCATTTGTATGTATATTCAATTTGCCTTTTTACTGTAAACAGCAAACAACTTGCCTGACATCTTTGTCTTCAATTAAATAGAGAGCAGCTAAATTTCTATGAAGATGTGCTGACTTGCTGAGTTCATGAAACAGTCTATCAGAGCAGAATGCAGTTGATTTTTCTGTAGTAGGTATAAATGTACAATAATCGGAAAACATTTTTTCTTGTAGCCAGTATGGTCCACCCCTTCGTACCGAACACAGACTTATAGTTGAAAATCTTTCTTCTCGTGTTAGCTGGCAGGTGAGTTGCACTTGATGTTAAATAAGATTTGCTTACTCAAAGCATGTTTTGTTTCCTGAAGAAAGTAGCATACAATTTTAAGATTACAGTTAAAGCAAGTTAGAACATAGTTATTAAAACAAAGACTTAGTTTTTTAATTCACATAGCAATGAATAAATGTTTAAGCACATTTTAATATTCAGCAGCTGATTAGTGTTTCTTGGACAACTATAATCTTCATCTAATAAGAGTGGTGAAAAACCAGTTTTAAAAGCCTAACCATTTAATTAAAAGGTCTGCAATTTGTTTCCAGTTTGTATCTGGCTTCAAGAGAATGAACGGAATGGTTAAAGCTTGTATTTCTTATGCAAGGAATTTAATACCTTATGTATCTAAATTCTGAAACAGAATTATGACATATTGAGTAACTGTTGTTCTTAGTCGCGAAGTCGTGTCCAACCCATCGCGACCCCATGGACAACATTCCTCCAGGCCTTCCTGTCCTCCACCATCCCCCAGAGTCCACTAATGTATATTTTAATTTTGAACTTGTGCACAAATTAGGCATATATATATATATATTAGCATGGAAACTATGCTTTTCTTTCACTGTATGGGATAATAAAAACATAAGCCTGAAAGCTCATGCCACAGACTTGTTTGCCTTTTTGATGCCGTCAAGGTCATTGCCTGTTAAGCTGATGGGATTGCTGTGGACCCCAGCAGTGCTTTAAAGTATTTGTAAACTTTTCCTTTTAGTTGCTGTCTTTAATATAGATCAGTTTCCTTTCTCATCCAGTGAAGCTAGTTAAGGCCTTGAATGCTAAGAGTTGAGTCCAGATTAGACTTAAGCAACAGGGATGGAAGAGAATAGTCCTTAGCTCCTTGTTTAGTGTTACATTTTTAGAAGTTTCATGGACTGATGGGAGGATGTTGGGAAGACCTTGTTGCACACACCTAAATATTGACCCAGTCATGAATCTGAAACAAAAACAGAGGTTTCATTGAGTCAGTAATGTTAAAATGTATGGGTTACATAGAAGGCTTAATCAAGTAGCCTATTTGTCATGTCTAACAGAACTGATAACAAAATTCTGGTAGTCTTTGTTTTTATAATAATATACCCATGTAATACTTTGCACAAAGGAGGAGACTGAAAAAGAAGCTGAATTCAGTTTTATATTCAAGTCATAATAGACATATTGACACATTATTGCAGCTAAGTACTTTACCAACATTTTCTGTGTGTAATGGCCCCTTCCAACTCTACTATACTATGATTCTGTGATGCACATTGAAGGCTAAGTCTCTAGAAAACAAAAATTTAGAAATCTTTTCGGCATTCCTGAGTTCTTTGTAACCCTAGCCTTTAATAACATTCATGTCCTATTGTGTTTAAATGATCATCCATTCTAACCTTCATTTTGATCAGTACCATCATGACATGATTATCAGTTGTCATTTTTGCCTAACCTCAATTTTATTTTAATTGCTGTCAGTTTCAACATGGGAAATGCCCTGTTAATAACTATGCTATAAGCATATGTTCTACTGGCAGGATTCTCCCTGGCACCTGAAGAGAGGAGGAAAGAGTAGGAACAGGTTGGGAAAAATTCATGAATAAGTGAATTGTCTAAAGAGTAACTACATGAACCTGCCTAACATGATAATAAACAATTTTGGTTGAACCTACAGACAGGCCATACTATTATGGTGAGGAAAATGTTAAAAAACAAAAAACAAGCCTTCATTGGCTGGCATGGTGACCCTTGAAAGGGAATATGATCACCTTGCCCTGGGCTGAGAAGCTCATATGAGGGACAAAGGGAAGCTTGGCAGATGTATTTCCAGAATTCTGCTATATGTGAAAATACAAACATTGTCAATCCATTTTAGAACAAAATACATGCATTTAATATAATAATACTACTGGGCCTCTCCAGGATTAACAAATTTAATTGCTGCCTTTAAGAAATTGCTCAAAGTAGCATGCATATCAATATACAATTTAAGAGGAATTGGGTGCCAGTTTTTTCAGCCACATGACTATCCTCCTTCCTTTTAGGGACTTTTCTACATGGGACTTTTCTACAGAGGTTATATTCAGTGTTACTGTTTCCTCTTTGCATTTTAGAAAAACATGACATTAAATAGCTAGAAAAATGCATTTGCCTTGGTTTACAAAGCACAGGCACAGGATATGTATGACCCTGCCAGAATGGCTTAAAAACTTACAGATTGCAACTGATCAGAGTTAGAACTATGAAGAAGATGGAGTAAACGACCTGCAGTCCAGATAATGTAACATTCACTTACAACCAGGTGGGCTGGCCTTTGGTAAGAATGTGTCCTGGGAAAGAGGAGTCCAGTTGTTTAAGAACAGAAGAATATAACTGAATCACATCTAGGGATAACCTAGACTAATACCTGGTATACAAAGTTATGCTGCTGCTTCATATGGAGGTTCCATTTAGTTACTAGTGTTATTCTTCCATTAATATTGTGCTAGCCAGGTTAATTATATTCTGCCTTTCACTGTTCTGACAATTCAGTCAGATCTGTATCCCACAATCTTCCCAATACAATTTCAGGATTTTGTGTTCTTGCATGGAAATTTTCTCTGGGCATTGTAAGCTTTTCCGAACTCTGCAGAAGTGTATTTTTAAAAAGATGGAACCATTTGCTAGGTTGCTTGATCCAGCAGCTTGTTGCATTCAACAGTGTGGTTCTGTGCCTAATCTATTGCTTTTGCATGGTGAATCCAGCCTTAGAGCAACTTCTTTTAATTATAAGGAACATAAAAATAACGATAACCTCAGAGTGTTTTTAGTAGCAAAATAAATAGCTTCTGTTCAAATCTGTTTTGATGCCATGATACAAACTACTGGCTGTTATATGGAAAAGTCATCTATGCTCTTGATATAAGCGAGATTACCATTTGTATGAGAAACACTAAATAATTGCACATATTACTTTATCTTATTTAGTGCTTAGAATTGGTATTATGCTTGGAATAAGGTGATGATGGTTTTACTCTCAGGAGAGCTTTACAAATATTAATGCCTGCCTTATGCTGTCAGAAATGTTTGTCACACTTTATCCATACCCATTTTACTTCAAGTAGCGCATAAACACATAAAGTATGCCCAACTTAGTCATTTCCATGTGTTTTGAAACAGAAGAATCTTAGCAGAAACCACAGAAGTTTCTGATGCATCATTTCCCATTTCATATAAGTAAATATAGCATCTGTTCAAGCCTTTGTCTCTTGGTACATATCTTGATTGAATGAAATAAATGACCATAATTTGAAATCATAAGACTTAAACCCATCATTTTAGTTTAAGGCTGAGCATACACAACTAGCTGCAAGATCATAGCCCTGGGGTACAATTTGGAAAATAGGCCAACAGTTTTCAAACCCCCTTGGAATCAGTTTGTGATTATTTCATTTATTTTAGCAATATATACATGAATAAAATTAGCTGCTCATGTGACGTGAGTTGCGTTTATTCCAGAGAAGTCACTAGCCCTTTTAGCTTATCAGAAAGAGTGAGAGCCAGCCTGCATCTGAGAGAGGAACAGCACAGATGACTGAGGCAAGGCTGTAGTTAAGCTTTTAAATTCTCTGGATTGTACCCTAGTGTGCCAAACCCACTAATCAGCATCTCATGATTTTAGTGTATATTAAACAAGCTTAAAAATGAGAGAACATATATCTGCCTTTTAAAGCTAGTACATTCTGGTATTTAAAGTTGTCTGAATTACCTATCAATATGCCTTTTAAGATCCAGAACACTAGTACTACATATTTATTACAGATTAATTTTCTCCTACCCATTGCAAGTTCTCCATACACCTAGAATTAGACAGCCAGAAATGTTGCTTTTTTTCCGAATGGGGGTTGATACACAGAGATTTCAACTTTCTATGATTCTTCTGAGTTCTGATGAAAAAAAAAATAGCTGTGAACTTTTGCTCACATTTTCCCTCTTGATATGCATAATGTTTAACATTTAACTTAGAATGTAAAGCAAATACATTGCCATAATTTTAAACTGGATATGTGTCCTTGTATGCCCATTTTCTTGTATTATCAGAGCTAAAATTGCTAAATTATACTTGATAAACATTTTTTCTTGGTTTGTCTCTTACGTACTGTGCATAAAATCAATTTGAAATATTTCTAACATTGTTTTGTATTATGTTGTAAGCGTTGTATTGGGAAGATTCAGTCCTATAGATGCTAAGTACTTAAGTCTTGATTGTGATTAGAAACTTCATTTCCAGTAGGTCTTATAAATTTATGCATGCTCATGCGCGCACGCATACACACACACGTCTTGCAGAATTGGAACTAGAGTGCTCAGTATGTTGTAGAACTGAATCCTTCCATGAAGAAATGTCTGCTCTTAAGCTTGATTCATGTTAGGGTAGAGGTTCACATAGTCAAGACTGTATTTGATTCACATGCTAGTTTATAGAAACTAAACTAGGCACTAAATAAATTGAGGCATCCTGTAGTCTGTAGTTCAGTTTTAGGCTTTTTGTTTGTATTTTTTCACAAATATATCTCTAACCAAGTTCATTTTAAACCTCTTTTAACAGCCTTGCTTTGGGTTAGCCCTCGTTTCTCTTGTGTGGAGGAGAAAGAACCCAAGAGTTTGGGGTTCCTAGTGGCTGAATTTCTAGGGCTTGGCCTGTTCTGAGTTGTCCCTTTGGTACCCATGAAACCTATCTTGGCGATGTAGATCTTGGTTGGCCCACAGCTCGATTGGCTAGCACAGGTCAACCTCAGGTTCTAGAGCTGCTTCCGGAGACTGTGTCCAGTGCTTTCAGGGTCTCTGGTATACCCCTCTGAAGCACATTGCTATGATCCATTCCTCTGCCCCTCCCATGTAAAGGGAGTTCCTCTTGGTCTGCTAGGCAATTATTGGACAAGCGACTGTTTGCTTAAGGTACCTGCTTATGTCATCTGACCACTTGTGGTATGTTGTGGTAAGTAGCCTGTGGCTATAAAATGTCAGCTATTATTTTGGGCACTTTGTAAAGGCTAAGGCATAATTCATAGACAGCTTCTTTTAAAGCATATTTAACACTTAAGTTGTATAGTGTTGCAACATAGTCTCAATTACATTAAATGCAAGTCTCTGTTAAAATAACACTGAGGTTGTGCCACAGACTTACAGAAGCCAGAAAAGTGCTTGCTACTGCCTTTTGATAGCTTGTGGCAGAATCTTAGCATTAACTTAATAAAGACATTTGTGTTTATGTAGAAAACAGAAAGAATGTTTGCAGGCAAACTTTTAATATGCGAGTGAACTGGGACCAGTTTTGATCAAATGCTTGCATTTAATAGTACCGTTATGTGTGATAGTTAAAATATATGTGGAAAGCCATTAAGTGATGTTATTTCCATATCTAATCTTTGTAGTTAGATTAATTTTGCTCATTCTAGTTGTAATATATGGGATTTTATTATAATTTTAGCTATAACAAGGAGGCATATTTAACACAATATGTTGAGTTCTAGCTTCATTTTCTAAGCTGAACTGTTAACTTTTACTGCAGGATTTGAAAGATTTCATGAGAAAGGCTGGAGAAGTGACCTTTGTAGATGCTCATAGAAACAATCCAAATGAAGGGTAAGACCAGCTTTTGTATCTAGTGCAGTGAAAGACCTAAATCCAAATAGCTATGCTTAGATAAATTGTGGGGGGAGCTTTAAATAGACATTTAATGCTTTAAAAAAATCAACAGTCCTTTCAAATTCAGTAATTTGTCATATGGCATAGAGGCATTCTGTTCAAAATCAGAATTCCTAAGTCCCTTTATGTTCAAAGAACTATTTGCATTGTACTTTGGTCCCCAGCCATTGAGTTCATGTTTTCATTCCAAGCATATTTAGCTGCAGATATCATGATAAAGTTGCAGCCTGTTGTTACATAATACACAGAATGAGCAGAAGGAAAATTGTCTACTCCTGTGCACCTCTTTCTCCAGATAGATTCCCTAGTTGACCATGCCAAATGTTTTTGGCTATAAATAGAAGAGTGAACATGTGGAAGTTTTACAGAAGGAACAAGGAACATGTTTTTTGTGCTCTGAAAGGTTAAATTACCTCTGGGATTTGAGAATGTGGCATCAGTATTTATTAATGTATTTCTTGCATTGCTGTGATGAAGCTTCCTGGCTGAGTGGGAACTACAATCTGAATCTCCCAGGTCCACAGTCTTCTCTTAACTGCTTCACTCCAGGAGAGTAGGATCATTGTTAATCCAAATAGGGTTGGATTATAAACTATAATTTATAAAAGTGTAGTCAACCTAAAATGTTTCTTTCCTGTTATGTCATCAATTTATATGGCAATTTTACTACAGTGTTGTGGAGTTTGCATCATCCAGTGACATGAAGAGTGCATTAGACAAGTTGGATGGCAGTGAGTTGAATGGGCGCAGAATTAAACTAATTGAAGATCGCAAAAGGCGTAGGTATGTTGCCATGTAAAACTTCTGACAGACAGTAAAAAGGGATCACTGGAAAAACAGTCCTCCTTTTTGGATATTCAGGATATATTGCAACCTCAGATCTTCTGAACAGATCAACAGTATAATAGATCTGTCTGTTTCTGAATAATTATGATTAAAAGCTTGCTTGCTTGCTTATTTATTTAAAACTTTTTAGGCTGTCCCTTCCTGAAGTCTCAGTTTAACAGTAAGACAAAAAATAAAACACAGCATCCTAATCGATTTCTGACAATAAAACCCATATTAAAATAACAAAATATTGGGAAAATAAAAAGGTTTTAGTCTGGTGCTGAAAAGAAAGTGACAGTGCCAGGCAAACCTCTTTGGGGAGTGTATTCCACAACTGGGGTGCCACCATAGAGAAGGCCTTTCTTTGGGTAACCACCCTCCTAATCTCCTTCAAGGCAGGATCCTGAAGAAGGGCCTCTGACCCAGATCTTAAGAGACAGGCAGGCACATATGGAAGGAGGTGCGCCTTCAGGTAACCAGGTCCTAAGCCATTTAGGGCTTTATAGGTCATCACCAGCACCTTAAATTGGGTGTGGACTTCAACTGGTAGCCAGTGTAGGTGGTAAAGGACCAGCATTATAGGTTCACACCTGTCAGTCCCTGTTAACCTGGCAGCAATATTCAGAACCCATTGAAGTATTCGGACCATCTTCAAGGGCATCCCCACATAGAACATATTACAGTACTCCATTTGGAAAGTTACCAGTGCATGGGTCACAGTAGCCAGGCACTGCTCATCCAGATAGGCAGTTGATAAATCAGCTGAAGCTGAAGGAAAGTGCTCCTTGCCACAGCCATCACCTGGGATTCCAGGAACAGCTCCAAATTGAGGAGTACTCCCAAACTGTGCACCCTGTCCTTTAGGGGGATTACAACCCCATCCAGAACAGGGTTGGAATCACCTACCTGAGAGGGTGAACTGCCTACCAGCAGGACCTCTGCCTTGTCTGGATTAAGTCTCAGTTTATTGGACCTCATCCAGTCCGTCACCCTGGCCAGGCACCAGTTCAGGACATCCACTGCCTTACCTGAATTAGATGTAAAAGTGCAGTAGAGCTGAGTGTCATCAGTGTACTCTCCCAGTGTACTGTCCCAGTGGTTTTAAAGAGCATGGGGGATAAAATGGAACCCTGCAGATCTCCATGGCAAAGCTTCCATGGTGCAGAGCCACAATCCCCCAGCACCACCTTCTGGAATTGATCAGCCAAGTAGGAGTGGAACCACTGCAAAGCAGTGCCTTCAACCCCCAACCCAGCCATCCTGTCCAGAAGGATACCATGGTCGATGGTATTGAAAACTGTTAAGAGGTGCAGGAGAACCAACAGGGACGCACTCCTCCTGTCCCTGCACAGGTCACATCATACAGGCTGATCAAGGCAGTTTCCATCCCATAAGCAGGCCTGAAACTAGACTGAAATGGCTCCAGATGGCTGGGCAACTCCAAGCTCTCTTGGAGGAAACTGACCACCATCCACTTGAGCGCCTTGCCCAAGAACAGGATGTTAGCCACCAGTCTGTAATTGGTGGCTATCTCTGGGGCCAGGTTCACCCTCTTCAGGATGGGCCTGATAACCATCTTCTCAGAGAGGCGTCAACTACCTCCTGGACCCAAGTATATATCCCATCCTTGGCTTTGATGAGTAGCCATGAAGGGCAAGGGTCAAGTAAACAAGTGGTAGGGCGGAGAAGTCCAAGCATCTTGTCCACATCCTCAGGCTGCAACAACTGAAACTCATCCAACAAAGATAGACCAGATGGTGCTCTGGACACCTCCCATTCAGGTACAACATCAACCGTGGAGTCCAGCTCATGACGAATCTGAGCAATTTTATCCTTAAAGTGTTGGGCAAAGTCACAGCAAGCCACCGATGGTGTGATCGGGTAATTTTTTGGCCCAGAATGTAACAGGCCCCTCACCACCTGGAAAAGCTTAGCTGGACAGCACTGTGAGGATGCAATGGAAGTGGAGAACAATTCCTTCACCACCCTCACCGCCACAGTATAGGCTCAGTAATGATCCCTCAGTTGTGTTCGGTCAGATTCAGTATGATATTTCCTCCACCTATGCTCTTAATCGTCTTCCAGCCTGCTTCACTGCCCACAACTTGGGTGTATACCAAGGCACCACACAGGATCTGCTTGGTGGGAGTGGATGCTTAGGAGCAATCATGTCAGTCGCCTGGGTCAGTTCTCCATTCCACAGATCAACCAGGGTACCAACAGGAGCACCAGTCTTATCAACTGGAAATTCCCCCAATGCCCTCCGGAATCCATCAGGATCCATAAGACTTTGGGGGGTGTACCATTTTAATAGGGTCAGCACCCTTTCAGAGGGGAAAGCTGGCCTCAAGTTTAAACCTCACAAGAAAGTGATCTGACCACGACAAAGAGATTAACATCAAATCCTTCACTTCCAGATCACCATCTTCCTGCCCCATCAAAAAGACCAGGTTCGAATTGTGGCCTCGTTTGTGTGTTGGGCCAGTGGCATGTTGAGACAGCCCCATGGTTGTCATGGTGGCCATGAAGTCTTGAGCTGCCCTGGTCAGAACAGTCTCGGCATGGAGATTGAAGTCCCCCAGGACACCCCCCCCCACAACATCCTGGGGGGTCCTCAACACCAGGTCCAAAATGATCTCTGTCAGTTCAGACAGGGTCTTTTGGGTAGAAGGGTGCACAATATGCCAACGAAATCCCCAATCTGTCTTGGATCACCCAACATCAAGTGTATACACTGAAGACCTGGCCTCAAAGGGACAGGAAGCTCCGTGAAGGAGATTGTATCTCTGTGAATTAGGGTGACGCCCCCTCCCCTTCCCTCAAGGCAAGGTTGGGGTTGTATCAGATAGCCAGGTGGGCACGGCTGGGTGAGTGCCATGACCCCTGCTTCCCCTGACTAGGTCTCTGTAATATATACCAGGTCGGCCCCCTCATCCTCGATTAAATCATGGATGAAGGACGATGTGTTTTGGACTGACCTGGCGTTCAACAGCAGCAGCACCAAGCCTGAGGGTCAGTTGATGTCACTGCCTGGGGGAAGAACCAGAAGAGGGGACAGATACTAACCTGCCCCCCTTCTTCTGCAACAACCTGTTAAAGCCCCAGTGCCATACCTTCCCGGGCACCCCATCGCTCCCCAGGAACTCCCATACCAAGTTAAAATACTAGGAAATAGGAAGCTGTGTATTAAACAGGAGCCCCAATGCAAAAAATGCCTCTGACTCCACTTAGAGAGAGAAAAGAGTCCCACCAATAAATACACAAAACAACTGCCCTGGCCAGCCTTCCCCCCATCCCAAACTACCATAATCCCTGGCCCAACCCAACCCAACCCTGAATGGCTCCAAATGGCTTCATACCCTTTGGCCGCCCTCCTTCAGTCACTGGCCCAAGGCCCCAAGATAAGGGACTCTGGTGCCACCCCACCCACCATCCCTCACCCCCCCCCCCCAGTGGTGAGTGCACAGGTAGAAAGTGAAGGCGGAAGCTGCTGCAGCAGGGGGAGGAGCAGGGCTCAGTCCTTCATCACTCAGTGGCGGCAGCATCCCTGAGACTTTCTGCGGTGTGGCCCAGTGTTGAGCAGGGGGGTGGTGAAAAGCTTCTGCATATCATATGCTTAAGTACATCTAGACTTTCCTGGATTTTGTAATTAATTTGGCCAATAATTATCACCAGCTGTTGGTTCCTGCCCTACCATGGTCTGCTTCATATTAGCAGCTGACAAAGGCATTCTGCCCACACACTCTAGAAAGGAATAGTGTCAAACATTTATTATTTCATGATAATTTTGGCAACTCATTTTGTTACTTCCATTTCATTACATTCTTATTTAAATTGCCTGTGCAGGAAAGGATGAATGGTTTCTTTTGCTCATGCTGAGCTTCTTGCAGGAAGCATCAGCAAAAATGAAATGGGACCCTTTGGATAGATGTGTAGGAGAGGTACATAAAACACTTGCCAGAGAGGGAAGAGGCAGTTGCCAGTGCTTTATGGAATCCTGTTGAAAACAGTTTACATGACCCCATATGTTCTGCCTGATGCTGATGGAAACCTTAATATTATAGAGCATGCTGGTACTGCTAGTATACTGCAGCTGTTAAAAATGTTTGCAAACTCTTTTGCTGTTTCAGAGATCACTATAGCATGCATTTTAAATGGTATAGGAATGCTTCACTTAGATAGACACATGCTGACTGCTTCATGAAAGGATGGTCAAATAGAAAGTGAGACCATCTAATTAGTAGCTGAAGAGAGAGACTGTGCAGGCAGCAGAAGAAAGAATAGTTTGCTCAAAGTACAGGTTTGTACTCCTGTGTGATATAATATACTGCAGGAGCTCAGGCTAGGTAGCTAAATAGCTAATGCCAGCATAAGGCATATGTTACAGAAGGCCCAGATTTGAAATACCATTTGCTACAGTTAGTATTTGTAATCCAAGATACAAATGGTTGTGAAGGCAATTTCCGTCCATCCTGCCAGGCTTTTGAATAACCCTTCCCAGTGTCTGTGCTCTGTATACTGTTATACAGCTCTCACCAAAAGCTCATGCAAACTTCAAGAATCTCTGATTAAATTATGAAAAGTGATGGGTCAGTAGGGAAACCAGGATGCGCTTGTGTATATACACACCACATCAATCTGTAGCTCATGTTTTGAAATGGACCAGAAAAGAGAAGCCTAAGATTGCAAACTAATGATTCTATATGTTTGTTCCAATTTCGTGTTGGCTCCAAAGTTTGGCACACTGCAAAGCAGTAAGTACAGCAAAGCAGAGGTAGGGAGCCAGAGAGAGAACTTTGTTTTCAAGATTTCCTATAGATATATTAGAAAGTACTAGAAAAAGCTAAGCTAAAATAATCAGTTCAGACACTAACACTGCCTATTTCAAGAGAATATAGGATCTTGATAGCCTTCACAGTAGAAATATGCAAGATGGGATGCAAGCAAAATATGAATGCTAGATATGGATTGTCATATATTGGGCTTTGTGATGTTTAGCTGAATTGTTCAATACTTACTAGGAGCAGATCCCGTTCACGGAGTTATTCGAGGTCTCGTAGCAAGTCTAGATCTGCAAGATCTTCCAAGTCAAGCAGCAGGTCTCGTTCTCGAAGCCGTACACCTGAAAAGAGGAGCTCTCGAAGTCGCACACCTGAAAGGAAAGGCTCTGAGAAAAACCACCACCCTGGCACACATAATTCCTCTCCATCTCCCCCTCCACCCAAGAAGAGGTCTCGTTCTAGGTCAAGCTCTGCTGAAAGCCGCAGTTAAGATATTTTGAGACATGTATAAATATTTCATTTCTAAGTCAAATTTTCTACAAGCTTGAACAAATTGAAAGTAAGGAGGGAGGAAGAAAATTCATCAGGTGAGCATAGATCACTGAAGAGTGGATGTAAACTTCCCTCATTCCACCCTTAATAGAGTTAGGTAAATTGTAACCAACAATAAAACAATTTTCAATTGGCAAATTATAATTACCCAGATGTACTGTTTACTGGAGCCTTGCTGACGAAACAGGCACTCTTGTTGGAGTTTTGTCTTTGCTGCTGAATATGGTGAACTTAAGGCATGGACTCTGGTACTACTTTCCAGGGTCCTTTTACTGCACTTCTTGTTTGCACATAGATTATCTGCTGTGTAGCATTGAGAAAACCAACATGGCTGAGTTCAGCTAGTTATTTTACTACAGTTTTGAGAAGCTCCATATTGCATTCCCCATACACAGCCATTCTTTAGTGTTTCACAGGAGAGTCTCTCAATTGTGAATTAATAGTTTTGCTTATTCTAAATGAATAGTACATGAAAATATAACAAACAGGGAAGAGGTTTAATTTGTTATCTTGTTAAACAAATTCTGTATGCTGGTTGACAATAAGCTCTTGCTGTATAGCACGTATCTTTGAGTTCCATCTGGGTACAAAATTTGTTGTAATTTAGTACCTGTTATGAATGACTCAGTCAGAAGGAAGACTTCAATTTAGATTAGGACAATATTTATTCTCTTTTCTAAGAAGGCCTCATTTTACAGCGGACACCCTTTAAAAATTAAAAACACCACTTTTACTGAACTTTCAAGTTTTTACTATCGTAATGAGTACATTATTCTGTGTGGCTACCAAAGTGACACACTAAATAAGGGGTGTAGATGGAATTTGATCTGTGGATTCAAATTCAGTAGGGAAGGGTTATTTTCGAATTTTGAGTAAAAGCTTAATGTGATGCAAATTTATTAATACTGAAGTGGGCATTTCCTTAATTTAGTTTTTGTTAGTAGATAGTACTTGGTTAATCCTTAGTGTTGTGATCACTAAGCTATCTGCCTTCCACATACCCTAAAATGAAGAAATCTGGTTGAAATACTTGTAATTGAATCTAAAATGTTTAAATGTATTGATGTGATACAGTAAATATAATAAATGTTTCTCCCTTGCTTACTGCAGCTTCAGCAGTCTTTCTGTGTTGCTCATTAAAACTAAGTTTGCAGTTTTTTCTTCATTAGGAACAATTTTTATTTGCAATAAAATTGATACATAATTAAAACTTATTTTGTTAGTCATTGTCCAAATACATCACAAACAGGGGAGTTACTTTTCTCCAGTGGTTTTGTGTAAGTCCAACACTTTAGACTGAGAAATGGTGAAAGATTTGGAGAATATTCCAAGCCCAAGGCCCATGATGTTCCTGGATAAGTTTACTTGGTTGAATTCATCTTTTGAACTAGCTATAAGGGCAGCCCCACATCATAGTAATCCAATCTAAAGGTTACTAATGTGTAGATCACAGTGACTATTTTAGCCTTTTCTAGGAACAAGCACAGGTGATGTACTAATCTAAGCTGGAACCTCTAGTGAGAGCAGTGGTTCCAGGGGCACTCCAAGTGTTGGAACAGTGCTGGAAATATCCAGACCTTGTAAGAATTTTGTCACAATGTCCCAGAACTTGGCCACAATGTCTTCATCTTATTGACTTCTGCACTGAAGTGTAGGAATACAATTCAAATTAATGGAGTAATAGAGCTGTCATCAACATACTGATAGTATCTTGTCTCAAATCCCCTAATGATCACAAACGCCTCAAACAGGTATTAAATAGGCCCTGGAAATGAGAGAGTACATTGAGACACCTCACAGCAAGAGTTTCAGGAGACTGCCATACAGTCCCTTCAAGTGCTATTTGGAACATATCCTGCAGAAAGAAGTGGAATCACTGCTAACCCCACAGTTGATCCAGAAGAGTATTATCTTTAATACTAATTTTTGGAAAACCATTTTATTTCTGTGCCAGCCAATAGCCAAAGCTGTCTGGGTAGTTCTCAAGAATTTCTCAAAGTACAATAAAATATAAAAATACAGTCTAAAATTCCAATATACAAAATATAAAGTAGTTTAAAGATCTAAAATAATTTCAGTAAAGCTAGACCAAAATAAAACAGCAGACATAGCCCATCATATGTCATTGAATGCTTGGTGTCACGTTTAACCTGACACCAAAAAGATGATAATGTTGGGGCCTGCCTGGACTCAGTAGAGAGATTAGAGAAGGTTCTCTTTCAGGGCTCCAGATGTGGTTGCAGGGGATGGGTAGATTGAAGTTGAGGGAAGCATTTCATCAAGTACTATGATCTCAAGTTTTATAGGACTTTATGGGTTAAAAGCAACACCTTGAATTGTGCTTTGAAGCATACAGACTGAATGCAAGGAAGCTTCTATTGTTATATGTTCAGGTGTTCTGGCTCTAGTTATTCTTGTTGCATTCCTACACAAGCAGCAGCTTCTGAACAGTCTTCAAGGCAGCTCAACTAAGAGTGCATTGAAGTAATCTAATTTAGAGATTACCAAATCACAGATTGCAGAAACCAAGCTATCCCTTGTGCAAACAGAGGCACAGCTGAGCCACCAGCTGAAGCTGGTACAAGCTATTCTATGCCACAGACCATCCAAACCTCAAGTGGCAAAGATGTCTCAAGGAGAACCCCCAAGCTAACTAAACTGCTTCTTCAGGGAGAATTATCACCAGCCAGAACACATTGAACAACTTACATTTAGAGCACCCACCCACTAGAGTCATCCCCATTGTGCCAGCTTTTGCTCCCCTTTGCTCACCACATCCTGTCATTTAGGCAATACTCATTTCTGAAAGAAGTCATACTCTGGATGTAGTGATGGCCACCAATTTAGACATTGGTGCACACGGCTTATTGGGGAACTTGGGTGGGGTGGGGGATGCTGTTGCACTCAGCCTGCTTGTAGAATGCTGGACTCAAATGCAGCTTGGTTCTTTATATCCTTACATTCGTACCCTTAGTTCAGAGGCAATATGCTTTTAAGTGCCAACGCCTAAGAAGGGGCTATTATTCCCTTTATGTACTTGCGGATTTCCTGGAGGCATCTGGTCGGGAGGTAGAGCTCTAGTTTAGGCATGGGCAACATCGGGGGGGGGGGGGGGGGTCAGAGTAATTTTTTATTCCTGGATCGCCTGTCCATGTGTGCACTTCTGCTACCACCACTGTGCTGCCGAATTCAGCAGTAGCAAAATTTTCAGTGATAAATGGTGGCAGAAAAGCCAAATTTGGCTAGTTGAGCCTTCCATAGTCATTTGTCACTATTTGGCAGCAGTCTAATAATGGCGGCCATTTAGATGAAGCCCTCTTTTGGGCTTTTTCAAACCCCGTGCAAAAGCTTTAGGTAATGTTTCCATGCATACCTTTTCTCATGCTGAAATTGGAGGAATGCGACACTCAAAAAGGTATGCATCCTTTTTTGTTTGTTTGTTTTGGTAAATTCTCAGTGGGATGAGTAAAATTCCTCCTTGCAAATACAGCACAGAGCAATTGCTACTGTCCACAGAACACCATATTAACCAGTCAGGCAACTGACTGTGATTTCTGAAGGATATGTTCACACTTACCAGCTCTACCACTGACTGCCACAGGAAATCCCAATAAAAGCTGTTGGGATAACTCTGCTGATATATTAGCAGACAGAAAGCACATCTATGCTGCACAGGATTCTCTGGCTTAATTAACTTTTGGAGAAGTGCTTCGTAATTGTTGCCCAAACGTATCTCTAGAACCTCCTGGACTGTGAGGTGGAACAGAATTAATAGTTGAAGAACAGGGTAGTTCCATTTTGCATTCTAATCATGCAACTACAAGCTGGAGTTTTCATGCCAACATGAATTCTTTATTTGGATAACTTTCCAGAGTTGAGGCCTATTTCCAATATGCTGTTGTAAAATCTGCCTCAACCTCATCTCACAGAACTGTAAGTGTTGAGTCCTAATGCTTTTTTGGGGCTGTGGGGGGAGAAGGTAAATCTGTGTAGAGCTTCTGCTTCTCTTCAAGCAGTATCACAGCTATTGTAGTGTGCTGGTTAAAGTCAAAACTGTTCACTACAACAGAGTGATAGATTTACCAGCAACCATTTTCAGCTTTTCTACTGAAAGGAACCGAGTTGAACTCATCATACCACTAGGGGACACCCTTGATCTTTCCATGACAAACAATTCTGATTTTTGGCCCAGATTATGTATAACAGAGCTGCAGCATCTAGATTTCAACATCTTACAGTGCAACAAATTGTGGAAGGAGAGGAAGTCCTTGTGAATTGTTCCCACAGAGAGTGGCTCTTGAGACGATCCATGGTAAGTAGATCCTTTCATGAACACAGAAGAGTTGGATCCAGTGAGACCACATGGCACAAAATCTGGAACCCTGCAGATGATGATCCCAGTTTCTGATTTTAAGAAAGGCTACTACCTTCCACCCACTATCACCCATAGCAATATTCAAGATAACCTTACGGTGTTTTTGTTTTCCTCTCCTTAAAATGAAGCTGTAGGACTCAGAACACAGCCCAACACACCATTTGATATTGTTAGTGCAATTTTTTAGGACGCTGTGTTTTATTTTACACAGTTCTATTGTTAAACTGTCCTGAGACTTTGGTAGGGGACAGTCTAGAAAACTTTTAAATAAATTAATAAATGAATGTGCTTTATAAATTAAAGCTTCAGAAGAACTGGGGCCGAGGGGCTGGAAAAGCCCTGGGAGTAAAGGTAAAAGTAAAGTGTAGAATTGGGGAAATAAGGGCAGATTTGTTGTGCAGGGAGCAGGGGAATAAGGGGTGCTTGCCAAGACCAACTACCACTAACCCAGAGGCTGCAGTCCAGCAAAGGCTCTTTACTGAAGGAAGAGGGGGCAATGGCTTTCCCAATTCTGCCTGCAGCCTTTGTGTCTCCCTCAAGCTGTTCCAACAGGGGCAAAATGGCTTTCTCCTCATTTTCCAAACAGTACAAATGTCCTCCCATGAACAGGGTTTCTCTCCTACTCTAGGCTCCTTCTTCAGGTCACAGAAATAAACTCAACCTGTGCTCACATTTTTCGAAGGTATATTTGCTGTAACGGAGCAAGAGGCAAATAAAGAGCTACAATCCTTAGAAATGCTTGCAAAAGCCTGTTTCCTATGCATGGTTTACTCACATACCTTCACAGACTCGCCACCCATCTTCCTGCCCTGATGCCCACAACACACACTCTGCACCCCATATTGTCCATCACTCACACCCACCTGTTCCCATACACAAACTCCGTCTCTCTCTCCATTCTGTACAGAAATCTAAAGGCACATTAGAACCACTAGATGGGACTCATGCTGCAACTGAAAGATCAACCAGTGTGGCACCCCCCCCACCCCAAATAAAAACCACCTTTAAAAAAACCCTTTAAAAATAGAACACAAATTGTACAGTTCAGTAGTTCACCTACAGGCAGTCATAATTAATGAGGAACAGGCTTTTTCAGCCTTATGCTTTCGGGGTGGGGAACTGGAGTGGGATTTAAAAAACTGGCTACAGATACATCCATGAAGAACTACTCTTTATGCCAATTCAAGTTGGTCAAATTTTGGGGGAAGGGGAAAGCTGAAGAGTGTTGGCATTTTCTGAGATAGGGGTTGGCAGAAGGGAGGTTTTCAGATGATTTGAGCTTCTTATGACTGCATGCTATCTTGAGTGCTATTTTTCTTGGTAGACAGGCAGTACAAACCAAATACATAAACTCTCAGAAGGCCCTGCCAACATGGCCAATGGTCAAGATTGCTGGAAGCTGAAGATCAAAATACGCAAAGATCTACTTTCTATCCTGTTCTAGACATAGTTTTGTAGCATGCTCAGACACATGTCTCTGCTTAAATTTAAAAATATTAACAATCCACCAAGTAAAGCTAAGGCCTTGTGTATATCCACATTGGGTTGGAAGGGTATGTGGCATCAAATTAGAACCATGGGGACAAAGTAGTGCAGGCTATTTGGGGCCAACATGGAATTTTAGTGTGGTATTGATGGTGCTCAGATAGGCACAATGCAATGATGTGTCCTAGGGGAGGGTCTTGCAATGGTTAGTTGACTGTAAAGACTCATCAGCAAACACACCACT